ACATTCAGCTTTAGCATTCGACATTCGCTAATCCGCCAGTCTTCGTATACGATTCGACTGAGGGAAAGGAGAACAAGGAGAAAAAGAAGAATTAAACATATCACCCGCTTTCTATTCAACAGTCAGTATCTACCTACAACTACATATAAGAGAAACACAAAGATCAAAGGCTTGGGGAACAACACTCAACATCCATTCACCAGACAGTCTTTATCCACGACGAAAAGTGAGAGGGAGTAGAAGGACATAGAAGGAGATCAACAGAATACTCGGCATCTTTTTCAGAATTAGGATTTACAAACAGTCAACCTCGAGTCTTCGAAATACCTTTGACAAAGGCATATTTCAGTATTGTGCGGTCCTTTCTCAGTAAGAGTAGCTGCTGCAGATCTATCTTTCATTCAAAAATCCAAACTTCAAAGACAATATCCTCCGATCGAGACGACAACCAACGCTTCTGTGATCTTTATAACTCCGATTCCTCGATTTCGACGAATGTTTCATGTAAAGTACCTATCGATAGCGCGCAGCTATATGTGAAGCAAAGAAGTTCTCAAGTTCTCGATCTTAATCTGGCCTATCATATCAAGTTCTTCCCACCAGGACAACAACCAATACTTATATCCGCTGGGGAGGCATCGAGACTCGAGAGGGGCTCGAATTCAGAAGCATCTAATCTGCAGAAAGCTTTTTTGAGATGTCTAGTGTTTACTAAAGTCATCACCTACCTAGGTACGGAACAATTCTACCCAGTCTGATAGCCCAACGTGGCACATTGATGTCGAGAGGATCATTGGATCCGGAAGATTGGAAATTTTACTAGATGAAATTGGAACGAAAGATATAAAATAACGAGTTTTACTTTCCTGGATCAAGCCTGAGCATATTCACTCCATCGATATTGATACATCTCATTCATTCATCGCGTCTAATATAAGTTGATTACACAAGCCTTGAGTCCGGAGTTCGGCCAGATTCAGTTCATAACCGCCTACCCTACCTACGGCAGTGGTGAACCGTATAATTCAGAGAAATATCACACGTATCAGGGCTACACTAGTTAAGGTTTCTTTCACTAGTCTCACTAGCCTCACAAACGCGACCATTTAAAGTCCGGTCCAGTGAACCATTCGTTTCACAATAAATTCCCAAAATTTGTTTCAGACTTTCCATCAACATCGTAACCTACATACACCATTTCACAACAATTTCACAACATCTTCACAACATCTTCACATTCTCGCAATCCAATTCCTTTGAACTTTCTGCAACCCTTTTTAACATCTAGTATTTTAATGCTAGTATTGCATCAAGGAAGTTGTACCATATCTTCTCCGGCACGCTCTTCAAAAGACATAAGTTGCTTCTTGCGCCAACATTGAAGACTTTCATCTTCCTTAACACCAGACCGACAAGAGTTCGCTATTCATCTGCTTGACCACAACAAATCTATTTCATTTACAATCTTCCCCCGTGAGCCGACTATTTTTTGAATTTCACAAAACAGTTTGATTGACTCGTAACGTCGAAGACAAGAATTTTTCCACAGGAGCAGAGAGATTCGTGGACCAAACTCAGTATCAAAGTTCACTTACTTACATACCTATCTCAAGGCAATAAAAGATCTCGCCGCCAAGAAACTCGAGCATTTCAAGTTCAACTACTTTGTACAATATTCGCTATGATGAATTGGGCAATGCTTTCTCGCGAAAATCGTCTCTATAAGGGTAAAACCTTGTATAGATGGGATGTATCACCTGGCTTAGGTACGAAATCCCACAATCTTATATTTGCCGCAGAGTATACTAACAACCGTCTTTAGAACATCATTGCGGAACATGTGCAACACCACTTCATAGTAAGTTACATCAAGCTATAGCAACCTCATCTGTAACTTTGGTAGACTTAATACTCACTATGCTTCACCCATAGATGCTCGTTCAAAGTCTTCCTGTCTTGGTAAGCATGTTGAACCTTGCTTCCGATTTCATCAGCAGCTGCACTTCCTTGGTAAGTTCCCCAACTTTATTAACCCTATTCTGGCCACTGGGTGCTTGATCATGGTTATGAAACCATCAAATAGTCAATAACAATGCTAATTTGCATGCGTAATAAAGGAAAATCTCATGAATGTCTTGGGTAATTACATGGGCTTTCGTATCTATCTAGGCTAGTTTGCTAATTATAATAGATGCAACACGTCTGATGAGATGCACTATACTCGACACAAGGAGATCCTGATGATCATTCGAGAGATCAAGACATTTGACCAAGCTGATTTATCTCTTGGATCTCAGATGATGAAGAAAAAAGACGGAGCTGATAAGAAACGGACAGACTCCGATACCACATCCGAGGCAACCGACGCAATCTCTGAAATGAGCCTCGAGGAGGAGAGTTTGACAAAGAGAGGAAGGAAGCGGGCAAAGAAGCTGGGGGCAAAGACTAGAAGGGACGTTGTTGTTTTTAGTCAAGATGAGATTAATGGCATTAGCGAGGCATTGCATGGTCAAATACACGAAAGTAAAGGTGCTTGGGAAGGTACATATGCTTATGACAACCGTCATGCTGATACATCATCTGCATTGGCTAGTCCGGTTAGAGAGGAGGATGAAGAATATGATGCATATGCGGTTCAGTCCCCCACTCAAGTTTCCAATAAAGAATACAAGACCCCCAACTTTCCGACTCCAAAGCAACAAAGGGCGGCTAAAAGACTCACTACAGCAACACCATCAAGGCAATCCAAACTCCGTGGTCACCAGCAAAGGTTCACTCCCGAAGCGGCCTACAAGAATGATCCATATGGTGGCATTGATCCCGAAATTTTCTATCGTCTTCGCATTGATGTCAAACCGCCTTCTAATCCGAAACCCCGAAAAGAGTTGATAGGAAAGCTCATCGCTGCCATCCAGAATGATCTGCATGTTATCCGTCGGGAAGAAGAAGAAGCTTTCATCAGAGAAGAAGGTTTCTGGAGGTGGGCTGGACGAAACGCGTTTCGAAACATCCTTGAATACCGCAAAATGTTTGACTGGGCAACTGGTCAGAAAATAACCCCGGGTCAGAGAATGATTACGATGAGAACTGAAGAAGAGCTATTTGGCAACGAAGCGGAAAATTCTCAGAGCGATGATGAAACAGAGAGAGACGACAGGCAAGATGGTCCAGAGGACAAAGGCGAAGTTGCTGTGGGTAAGGACATACCTGCAGAATTGATGGTTGAGAGGCAGAATGTAAAAGAAATGACACATAGAAGCGAGGATAAATTTGTCGGCAAAGGAGAGCAGAAAGTCAAAAAGCATAAGGTCTTGAGAATCACCACGGCACACGAGTCGCACATACGATCGAATTCAAGAAAATATAAGAGTATTTCGAAGAAATCTCTTGGTACTAATAAAAATGTCTACAAGTGTTTCGAAACCGAGGGGTTTGTTAATGCTCCCGTGCAAGAAGATGACGAAATGGAACAAGAAGATATTGATGATCTTGTTAGATACAACGTGAAGTATGGCAGCAATAACTCCAAGTCTGCTTCTACATGGGCGAGTGTTGTTGGCTATAGCTCAATGGGCACTACAAGTACTGCTAAGAAAGAAAAGAAAGCTATTACAGATCGAACAACCACCTCTCCTCCTGTTGAAGATGGCGAGTGGACCACAGTTACGAAGAAGGGAAGGAAGCATTGATGTATGGATAAGATACAGGTTTGCAGAATTTGTGATGGAGGATTTGTTGTAATTGGTGCTATTTTGTTGGTGTACATTTACAATATGGCTTGCTTATTTTGCAATGTTTGCTTTTTGCTTTTCACGTTTCTCTTTTTCATTTCTTTCATAATTTGCTATTTTCAGAGAGATAAGAAAGTGACGGCGAGCTTAGGGAGAACCTATGAGGTTACAAGGGGTTGAGAAAGCGTGGACGAGTTTCTTTGGTCAATTTAGTTCACTTCATCACTTCAAATATGTAGTGCCAGGATGAGACATCATACTCTCCAAAAAGAAATGTATACACTACAATGAAAAAGGACATATTGAAATTATTTGTGTTTGTGATGAAATCTCTGTGTGTCTATTGGAAGCTGGAATTTCAATGATTAGGTAGATGGAGAGACAGTGCAATAAAGTGATGAGAAGGGGAAAGATAAAATAAAATAACGAAAGGAAAGGATCGAGGTGGTGAGCTGATGAAATCACGTATTTCTAAATTAGAGTTTAGATCTAGTTCAATAATAATGGCTTGTACTGAGTGAGTCTGCGAACAAAATTGGAAAACTGGAGATTACGATTACCTAGTTAGGTAGATAATGAGAGATTGGTATGCGGTACTTGCTTGGGTGATGAGTGAGGAGTATAGAGGGTTGGGGTTGGGGTTGGAGAGTTGGGATTTGTTGTTTGGAATTTGGAGTTAGGATTTGGGTTATGTTTCTAAGAGTGGGTGTGTGGACTGGTGTGTGTATAGATGTAGATAGGACTGAAGGGATGGGGGATGGGGGATAGGGGGTGTTGTGGGTTTCATTGTTTTGTTGTGTTGGTTGAGGGTTTGAGGGGAGGGTAAAGGGAGAGATAAAAGAGATAGAGAGGAGTTTGAAGTTTGAAGATTGAAGATTGGAGATTGTTGGGGCTGTAGATGCAGGTGCAGGCGGATGATGTTTACACTGTACTCCCTTTGTCATCCCGTGTACTCTGCAGTACCTGGACACCTCCGTTAAAGGTTGCTATACTGTATAACACCCAGCCACTTCGTTCTCGGCGCTTGGAATCTGGGGAGCTGGCCGGGGAGGCAACACTTCTTTGACCTCTTTTATTACATGTCGTATTTCTTATTCTATTACAGTAATGCTAGTATTCATACTGGAATCAATGCGTCGGGAATCATTGGCGAGCCTATGAAATACATAAAAGACGAAGGTATTCAAGATAGGGTTAACGAAGGCAAGATGCTTCATCCTTGATGTAAATCTCTTTCTTCATTTCATATGCTCTTGACTCCATTAAAGTCTAAAACCCCAAATGATCCAGCAAGCCCACAAGCTTCTCCTCGCTCATGCGTCTCAGTGCCATTCTCTGATCCTCATCTTGATTCATACTCAGGAAGTCTTCATTACATAACCTCCACGGCACTAAGGCGCCCAAGATCTCGTCAATATTCGCCAACTTCTCAATGCCCGGAATGTTACTTGGTCGCTTCACATCCATCTTCTGCAGCTCTTCCTCCCATGCCTGCGCGACTTCCCAATCTATCACCGGACCATTATCGGATACTCCAGGAGCTGGAAGAGGCGAAGGAAACTGGCCCGTGAGTTTGGCATTGCGTAGCGCTTCAGCCGCTATCTCTTGTGGAGTCGTGTCTCCCGACCAACCGAGAAATTGGCCGCCGTTGCTGCCAAACGAGCGGAAGAATTCATATGCTGGGTGCAGGATACTTGCAAAGTCATAGTCGAGGAGTGCAGTTATACGACCTGTAGTAGGATCATAAAGAAGATTGTCGGGAGCTGTGCCTCAGTGTTAATGCCAGGCTCGAGGCCGAGAAGGCACTGCAGGACTACCCGCTTCCCAAGAGTATTCACGGCTTCGGAGGTGCGACGTTTAATGACAGCGGCGCCATCGTGAGCGGACCCATGACAAGCGTTGGTGCGGGACCTTGGGATAATTTCGAAGACTGTTACAGAGGCCGCCTGAAAGTAGCGCTCACCAAGGCAGATAAAAACCCGTACCTTCAGGGCTGGCATGTTAACGGTATTCGAGAACGTATTGACGCCTTTATCGAGCATGGGCTGCCATCACTGTTCTCTCACTTCCCCACCAAGCAAGACAAGTCTATCATACACGCAGATTTTAGTAAGTATATTTCTTACAGGATCCCCCTCTTTTGGTCAAGAGACATGGCTCCGCCGAATGCCTCGCCAATTGGTATACCAGGCATCAATTCCTGCAAAATCCAGCCTACATGCTTGCGACCTGCGCCACCCCAGCCAAAGACGCGTGGGACTACGGGTGGATTGACATGACGTAGGGCATCTGCAGCAAGAGCGAGGATGGCGACTTCGTTCTGCACTCGTGTTTCTTGGTACATACCTTCGGCGTCAGGGTTGTTGAGTCGCAGTATGAACTCCCTGGTGCCTGCTGGAATGTCGACGCATCCTGGCTGCTGGAGCTTGTGTCCTCCATCTGCATTCACTGGCCCACCCAAGGTGTCACCAGGAAGCACGAGGTGATAGACGAAGTTGTTGTATTTGAATGGGCAATCGGGTTCGTATTGTATCGGCGTGATCTTAATCTGTTGTAAGTCCTGTTCAAAGTTATCATTGTTAATCGTTAAATGCAGAGAGTGGAGATGCTCGCAAAGTGCCATGCGGCAAGCGCAGTGCGGAGAGTGATAAAATGATATACGTTGCTCGGGAGACGTAAATGATCTACTAATAGTTGCTGGATGTAATCGAGACGCGACTGATACTTGGCATGGTTGTGGTTTGCCGCCATGTTGATTGCTTGTCAAATTCAAATAATGGGGTGTAGGTCACGAATGTTGTTGAGGCAGGACAAAAGGTTCGTACGCAGCCTGGAATCACGTGCTTTGGATGGTAACAGTAGTTGGGCACCCGTGGACATTGCATTACCTTAAAAATCAAGCAATATTTACGATATAACCGGCATGGCATATACACAAAATCTGCTTTAGGACAAGTCCATTTTGAAATAGGATGATTCTCTGCCTGTGTGAGGCTGTGATGGCGGGATATACTGTACGGTAGAGATACTAGTCTCTGACTGATGGTATGAGAGATCAATGTGTTTGTACTTCTTCCTCGTACTCGTATTTGTATGAATATGACATATCTTGAGAAGAGAAAGGAGAAATGGGGGTTGAGAGAAAAAAGGTAGAGTCTAGCCTGTTCTTTTCTTGAAAGATTTCAAAATGGTCCGATGATATTTTCCGCATGGCTACTCAGATACAAAGACAATATTCAAATTCATGCTCAGAAATTGGCGGTGTACCAAGTACTTACAAGTGACATACCCATACTCATTCCAAGTAGCTTTGACATTCTAGTGTCGCCTTGTAGGGTATGAAAGGTCTCGGTCCGGATCTGATATTGATATTTCTGCATCCATGCATGCATGGATATACTCAATTGCGCAGCATACTCGCCGTGCTACATGGACCCATGAGATATATGTAGGAAGGCACTTGTAACTCGGGAAGTTTGTTTCGTTCCGTTCAGTATACCTCCGTACGGCACTTGACAAGAAGGACAAAAACTCGCCGAGTGTTTGGTGCTACGTCCGATGCGCGTAAGGAGATATCTTGGGGGAAAAGTTTGTCGAATAAGGAAGAGACTGAGTTGGAAGAGACTCGACTACAAAAGAGTTCGGTCTCACTTACTTGGGCAAGTATGCTTGCTATCAGATGGGAACGATAGATGTGTGGCGGGATTTTAATTGGATTCCCAAGACCTACGTGATGCCGTACCGTTACCTGCCATTCGGCGACCAACATTCTCCCTATAGTTATACCTTGTCATCGGGATATTGCATGGCTGGAATCTCGAGGATTTGAGTTTCGCCAGGTAAATGGATGAAATGGTACCGTATATGTAGGCCGGCGGCTCCATGCGTTGTTTGGTTGCACAGCTATAGCATTCTGATGTTACATGGTGTCAAGCCCAAGGATCAACCTCAAGGATGAGGATAAATCTCTCAAAATATATTCGTGGATCTCGATGATAGGTAAGGTCCATTAATATCAACGTTGTGAAACTTTGATAATTGAGATGTGTGAAGAGGGGGAACTCGAGCCACGAATCCGTAATCTCGATTCCTCCTCTCTTGGCCAATAATCATGTTGTGCCTTTGCAAGGGACGAGTTTGTTTGTATGATGTAGTTCATCCCTCTTTCATGCTGTATGATTTCGGGTCTTTGCACTGACGGGGTAAGTTCGGATTCGGCAAAGGAAAATATATTCCATGCCGCTGTCGTATAACAGAAATTGTTACCCGTGGAGACTTGACGGTCACATTACCACGATTGTTGGGCTAGAGACGATAAAGTAACCTTTAACATAGTATTTGACAGGGTGAGGGACTTGATGGTTGTAACGCGGGGCGTTTCTTGTCATTAGTCGGAGCCGTTCAAAATTTGTTGATGTAGGCTATGATTGGGTAGATGCCAATGTAGCATTTGAGATTCCGTGACATCGGAACAGACTCTTGTCATTTAGCGGGAGTGCTGATGAACTAGGTCTGCGGAGACTAACTTTACGGTTGACTTCTTTGAACTCAAGAGGTGGAATGATTGGTCCACACTGCATACGTACTGGTAAAACATTCACACTCTGAGGAGGATGTGCTGTATCGTATTGTACCGAAAATAGTTGACCATCTCGAGTTGAACACAACACGAGATGAACTCATGGATAAGGATAAGGCTGAGGGTCTTACTGGGGGCTTTCAAGGAGGATCGTTGGCGTGGCTGGTGGATTGGGGGTACGAACAGGAATGCAAACGAGGTGTGTGCGAACTACACATATGCCAATCACGAACCACCAAAATGCCAGTCCGAAACAAGTACTGTAGGTAGTTGTTAGGAAATACCAAAGTCAAGAAAAGCTCAACGTAGAAGACTTACGTTTGTACGTTGGAACCTTTTTTTCCGCACTGGTTTATTGTACCACCGATGTACTGGAGTATGAAATTTGACGCAGCGATTATAGGCGCGTGAGGTGACCAACATTGAAATATCCATGCCGCTGTTCACATTCGATGGACATCTTGTAGCATCGGAGTTGGGATTGTACAATTGTACAATAGTCCGATAGTCAGTGGCAATTCTGTTCCACGAATGCCTTGACAGGGTACACGTTCGCCTGCATTCTGGAAGCGATAATGAGGAGCGGAAAAAGCAAATGTAGAAACACATCTCATCTGTATGGAAGGTGATTGGCTGAGAATATAGCTTAGTGTAACCGTATACTTAGATCTGCCAGCAGATGACCTAGGTACATGTAGCGGTTGTGCTCTGGAGAAATGGAAGCGATGGGCATTGAGGACTATAAATGGTCTAGAACAATCCTTTCAGGTCTATGAAAAAAAGGGCTTTCGTTGAGGAAGTGAAATGTGATTGATATGTGGTCGCCGGTGAACAAATTGTTCCGAGAGATGAATGTGATGTGTGATGCCGCGCCGCCCACTTCTATGGTTAGACTCGTTAGATAAGATAGCGTTCCAATGGAAGAAAGTGTTCTGTGCCATGACATGATTCTGGGCATCGCCTGCCATGATTTTGAATGACATTACATCGGTAGCCAGTGGTGACATCTGATGCGATATTATTACATAATGTATTCTTTTCATAGGAGTTGGCTCTGTCGATGTCGATTGTGAAGAAGGTCTAGTTCGTACCTAGGTAGGTAGGTAGGTAGGTAGGTAGGTAAGTGAGTAATATTATTTGATACTCTACAAACTCTACACAATCTACTCGTACACTCTAACCTACACACTCTACACTCTACTCTGTAATCTGTATTTTGTATTGTACTCTGTACTCTGTACTCTGTACTCTGCACGTGGTACATACTCCGTATACGTATAGATCAGATAAAAGCTTGGTAGGTCTCTTCTTCCCTTGTACTTGTTCTTGGTACCGATTGGTTCAAGACATGTGGTGATGGTAGAATCTTGATTATATAATCCTCGGTCCTCTTCTCTTTCTCTTCTACAATACTCGAGTGGAATGTGAGTCCCGTCTAACGATAAATGGAAAAGTAGATATCCAGTACCCAGATAGGCTTAGGAGACTCTGCTAGCGTCCATGTCTCGTGACCTTTATCTCATGTGTTGCTCCGTAATATTGGACATTCGAAGCAATCGGAAGATGAGTGAAGTGATACCCGGCATGTTGGACCAACGGCCGTTGACCTTTTCTTTGCTTACCTCCCTCGATCCCAAGTTCCAGCCGTACCAGCCTGCGCGATGCGAGGAAGGTACCAGGGAACCAGGGAAATGCCAGGAAGGTACCGATAAGTATTCAATTTTTCGACCCTGCATTAAATCTTTGTGCAGTGATGCCGTAAGCGAGCCAATGAAAAATAAGATAATGTGAATGACCACGCTAAGATAATCTAGCTCACGCTAATCGCAATAGAACCACTCTTTATGCGCAAGTGACGCTTGCCTTTCCAGGACTCCAGGTGTTTCTTGATTGAGAGGAGCGAGTGCACTGCTATGTGATGGATGTGTATGCATAACTTACCTAGGGAGCGATCAATTTCCAACCTTACCACGCTTACCCACTAGGTCACTAAAGCCTTTTTCTACTACTGTGCGTCCTTACTGCACGAGTACCGACCATCCAAAAAAACTCATTGGAATCTTCGAAAAAGCCATTCGTACAACAGGACTTCCCCTTCACACCGACCACACCGTCCACACCGTCTCAAGGGCGAAGAGGAGTTCAAAACATCTTCACGCTTCACAATTCTCACTCCCGTCTCCTTCACTCGTCGTCACTACCACCGTGAAGGGAAGCAGGATACTCTTTCTGATATTCCTTCCAGTCCATTCAGCCCCCAAACCCCCTGACTTGACCTTACTCATCTCACCGATATTTGGATTCTACAAAGCATTACGCATTACAGATTATGGATGACAAAAGCCACACATTCGAATAAGGAAAAGAGAACGACGACACCCAGATTCAAGGAGCGACGAAGAAAGAAAGAAAGGGTCCTGTGAAACATCCGAAAGGGGGAGGAGAGGAAGGTTAACTTTGGTCACTGGACTTTATCGAATCAATCTGCAGTCACGGATTCCAGTGAGAGCAAGCAAGCAAAACTTGTGTCAGACAAGGAATTGGGCTTGCATGAGTGAAGTCAAATCAAATCGCAATCGCTCAATCCTTCCTCATATTATCAACTTCAATATTCCTTTTCTCGTGCTCGAAATTCCGGAGATCACGGCGATCATTTTGATCCAAAAGCCATTAAATCCAAGCGCATTTAGGTAGGTAACACAGCACGATATCTCAACACTTGTATTTTCCGTCACTCTACCCCCTTTTATTTGTTCTGGAGCCTTTACTAGAGCAAAAGAGGTTGATCGCATTGCCATCGCTCCCATTCAACAACGGCAAAGTCGAAGTTTGCGTAGTGCATTGTAGGCTCTGTTTCCCGCTCCAATATAAACTTGGCCCGTGCAACCGCAAATCACAATCACGACCACAACATAGAGAATTGCATTATTGTTAGCACTTGGATTTTGCATAGCTTACTCGTTATTTTTGTCAAGTCTATTTTCAATAACCATTACCACGTTGTCGAGCTGACCTTCCACTTAACCAGGCCAACTCCTTGGATAACAGACTTTCAATCCTTATCAGACGTTCTAGCCCCGAGTCTCTAGGACGAAACCCTCAAATTATCTTCAGGGCCTTCTGGATCTTGCAAAAGTTGATTGGGCTCCGATTTCATTCTAGGAGTAATCTCCAGTATTTTCACAGCATTTCCGAACATAAGCACCAATCTTTACTGCATCACCCCCTAGCAGCTTGTATCTTTTGGCGCAAGTAGAGCTTAGGAGACCAAGCTAAGATTCAAAGGCAATCTAACCCTGCCTCCTCATACGCATCCAAACGTCGGTAGGATAACCTCATCGGCGACCATATCATCTCGCCACCCCAGCTATAGCTGGACGAGGAGATTTAAAAACGATCGACATCACCTTCACGCTATTTCAACAGCAAAGTCTTCCTCCTTATCCAAAGGCGTTATAGTTCTCACTACTCCATAAAGAACATTACAACTCGATTCTTACTTTTGAGTATTCTCATCACTTCTTTTGACGTTAGCTACTCCTTTCTCTCCGCCCGTCAGAAATCACATATTTCCGAGACACGTCAACGTTTTCAGGAAGCCATATGTGCTGCGCACTTCAAACAGCTCCTTCGATTGGCTTTAAGTCGGATCATCCTTTTACCAATATGAGTAACAGAGGCTCATTATCTCCGGATCAACGGAGGCAGGAAGTGATTCCCGTTCGATCGGCTGTTGCTGCAATGGAACAGCCTACCAAAGAAGAGTATGAAGCAGGCAATCCATTGATCGGAACCGCAAACTCTTCAAGATACGACGATCAGCGCCAACAAGAAAGAGATTACACCCATAGCATCTCATCTAATGCCGACTATAAAAATTCGGATAGAATCATGACTACTGGCATTCCAGTAAATCACCACAGTCCTAGGGATACTTCGTTAGAGCGGAGTCAGAGAGAGAGTTCCCAGGCCAGCATCCCTGCGTCGTCCCCGGGCGTGGAGCAGATTCAATCTAATCAAATATGCAGGTATGGAAGACAATTGCTTTGTAGGTAGTTGTGGCTAACTTTTTAAAGTAATTGTGGCACAACTAGGACACCACTTTGGCGAAGATCTCCGCAAGGAGCAACTATATGCAATGCCTGTGGCTTATATCAAAAAGCTCGCAATGCTTCTCGGCCCACAAATCTAAAACGTCCACCAACCACTGCTCCTATCGGTTATTCTGGAGATCAACGGGAATCTCCCTCTGCGAGCGGGTCAATTTCACTTCCTGCTGCTGGCGCAACCTATGTTTCTGCAGATCAAACCTCCACAGGAACATGCCCTGGTGGTGGACGCTGCAATGGTACTGGAGGCGCCGAAGGCTGTGGTGGATGCCCAGCTTTCAATAATCGTGTCTCAAAAACCGCTCACTTTACTTCTTGTCAAGATAGGCAAGCAACACAAACACCACAGCCGCAAAATGATCAACCAACAGATGCGCCGTCTCCGATTGATGTCGCATCCCTCCAACTACAAGCACAAAATACCACGGTCGTTGTAGCTTGCCAAAACTGTGGAACTACCATCACACCGCTGTGGCGTAGAGATGAGAGTGGTCACACAATTTGTAACGCTTGTGGTAAGTTAATCGACAAGCTAGAAACGTATCCTAACTGACACATGATAGGGCTGTATTATAAACTCCATGGTGTGCATCGACCAGTGACTATGAAGAAATCAATCATCAAGCGTCGTAAGAGGGTAGTTCCAGCAGTTCAAGGTTCTCAAGCATCCAGCTACGAAACTAGTAGTACAATGGATTCGCCAGAGTCCGATCGAGCTTCACCTGAAGAGGTAGTTGAGCGAGGCACGATGAATCCTGACGGATCAGTGAATTTGGGTCTTCGTTTACGCAACGACCCAGGAAGAGCCCTGCCCGAACCAATCCGGACACAAAATGGCCAGCATCAGCATCAACAACATCCACCATCTGATCTTGGCGCCTATACATCGAATCCAAATTATCAAGGCCAAAACCTCGACTCCTTGACTAATGATAATCGACTGCCACCAATGGCATCATATCCTTCGCCAATCCATAATCGACTTTCCGTATCGCCCAACAATTATCTCTCCCCTTCTCGAAAACGATCATTTTCCGCTACTGATATGGACCCAAGTAATTCCCTCTCCTCGGACTCTGCACATGCATCAACCTTACCTAAGCGTCTCTCATCCATAAAATCGATACTGAATCACGGCTTCACAAATTCCGATTCTGATGTTAATTCCGAAAATGACCTTAGCTTCCGCCGCGGAACCGATAGTCTGAGATTAAGTCCAAGCCGGTATTCTGCCGCTGTTAGCCCGAGTCTTAGTACCGTCGGTCCTGCTACTTACTCAACCAGTCCCTCGGGTAGTGGAGCTGGAAGTGCACTGAGTAGTGCGAAAGACCCGACAAGTGAAAGCGATCGCGCAAAAACGGAGAGAAGAGAGATGCTACAGAGGGAAGCGGAAAAGATGAGGGAGGCTTTAAAGGCCAAGGAAAGAGAATTGGCTGAATTGGGAAACGGGTTGGATTAATATTTACCCGCCAACCACACTAGCCTTTCCGGTAAATTGGACGAAAAAGAAAGCTACGAAATTACGAATGTGCGTTTACTTTGTGAATTTTCTCGCAGGATTATTGCAGATATGGGAAAGAATACGATGTGCACGAAACGGGAAAGGAAAGTGAGTAAGAATAGGGGTTTGGAAGTGAGCGAGTTTGTCTTTGAGGACTGGGCCACACACTGCATGATACGATGGGAGTTTACCAGGGGATCTTTTTTTCGGGGTCATTACATAATCGGAATGGGATGGGATACAGATACCCCTCTGCCGTTTAATGAATGGGGGATTTCATTATACTTATTATCAGTGTAACATTGGAATGGCAAGAGGCGTGCAGGATTTCTCTTTGGTATATCTTCAGTGCCAGGTTCAGGCTTTTGATATTGGGAGTGCTAGATGCACAGTTTTGCAACTCTAATGTATACATGGAAACAGATGCAGAGTCCAAGACTCAGGCAAGCAAGATAGGTGCAGGCAGTTCCAACGGAACAAAAAATGACAGAACAGAGCCTCGATACAAGCAATGCAGTCAATGAGTCTGAGCAAAATAAAAACATTATATCAATATTATATAATTCCAAGTTGAAAGTCTCACAATGTGAATTTTGTAATCTCCCGGCTTTGGATTTTGTATCTTGCTTTTATTGAAGACTGGTTGACGTACATACATACACACGCGAGAAATAGTAAGGAGATGTTTCGACATGTCACCGTCCATTCTATAGCTAATTTGATTCGGTGATTCGGTGGAAGAGAGATAATATGATATGTAATAAAAGGCTGTTTTTCTGGAAACTCGCGTCTTTAGTACCAATAAATGGATGATGGCTAAGGTAGTATTTGCGAGGGAAAAAGTAGATGCGGTATCGAGGTATTGTGCGTATCGTAGGAGATATGAGTGATATCTGGTTCGAATTGAGTGATCGCGGTTCAAGAGCCTTGAAACTCGAACGGAGGTGGAGGTGTGCGATGCGATTAGACTTGTTCGGCGCCCCATCCTCCATCTGCTTCTCTGTTTTTGGGAATAATCATTAGCAAAAGGTTTTGTGTAGACTGTAACTGTATAGAGCGATTTGGGGGCGGGGCGGGAATGGGAATTTACCTCATGTTCGCAGGTGGCTCGATAGATGGAACGAACTCGAGACCAATGTAAATAAGACCGATTATACCAATCAAAGAACCGGCAATGATGCGCAAGACGTGGTCATGTAAGAGGATGGATCCAACGAATACGTAGACTAGGTTTGGGTGTTAGTTTTGCTTGGTTTGTGGTGGGTGTTGTATATGGGGATGTGGAGAGCGACGTACAGATTCCTCGTCCAACGAAGGAAAAGAGGAAGGATGCATAGCGCGAGACTTGTGGTGGAATTTGGAATTCTATAATTTGGTATTAGTGAAAGTGCGACATGTTTGGCAGGCTCCTTTGAAGTCAAAATCGAGGTTTTGTGAGATGGGATTGTTGTGGAACTGAGGTGGGTGAGACGAACCAAGAAGAGCCGTGCCTGGAAAATGTTAGTATATTTCATGCGCGGGACGATATAGTATGAGGATAACTTACAGATTCCGAAGATGATAACGTAACATCCAATGATAATAGATTGGCTACGATGATGTTAGAAAGAGCAAATTTCTCGATTCTTGCTGTCGCATGGATATGTATGTTACTTACAAGCCCAAAGGAAAGAATTGGGAAATTCCACCAAGAACCATAAAAACACCTACTGCCAAATTGACAAGTCGGCTAAGAAGAATATATGATTAGTCTCGTCTTCAACAATAAACTTTGAGCTGGCACATTCATTCGCGGACACTGGGCGGTAAGGTCTGGTGTGGTTGAGGGCTGGGGAGAGCTCTCGATGAAGCCTCGGAGCTTGAGGAGCTTCCAATTGAATCGATTTTTATCATTTTGGACTTTCATCGTCTGCCATGACCCAATCAATTGAATCTACCAAGAAGCAGCATATATTCTCAAGCTCCAGCTGCAGCCTCAATCCCTCAACCATCATCAATCGATCCAGCCCTCAAGCTCAAAGCCGCGCAACGAGCACGGTGCAAGCAAGTTTTGGGAAACTCACAAAGCATCAGAGTAATCCATCGCTGCTATATTGTGTGGATTTCCGTATTGATATATTATCTTTCGTTCGTGGAGAGTTTAGAAATCGTAGATTTTCCCGTAATTGGACGGGTTGTGGTTGTAATGTGTTCAGTAGATTCTAGGCAGGATCAAAACAGATGAAGATCTTTGAAAGCTGGTGCACGCACCTCATGTACCTCACTTCCTGCGATGGAACACAAAGATTTTGCCAAGAATTTATAAAAACAAAGGGTAATTACGTGAATAATTAAAATCTAGATTGGGTGTAAATTTGTACTTGCTAGCAATAAATATAGTTATCCAGTATTGTTATCTTCATACCACGATTATAGATGAATTATTGTTGTATTTTTGTTTCTTCTCAATTTCAAATCTCTTGAAGAGGGAAACATTCGACTTTCATCATTTGTTAATACATTTACCCTAGGACTACTGGTATATCCTGTTACAATATTCATCTTTTATATCTCTTCCCTTCCCCTCCCTCATTACTCAAAAAGAAAGACAGACATCAAACTCATGCCTTTCAATAGAAATTCGAATTCGATGCCAATCAATCAACCAAACATTGCTTTGATCAAAATGCGTTGTCTCTGGTAGATAACCTTGGCTGACTCAAATGAGCTATTCACAAGTGCATCATCTTTGATAGCAGTATTCATGCCGGCTTATACTGATCTTGTAAGGTCGAAGGGGTTTCATATCAATGCGAGAACTCTGTTGTTCTGGTCGTCTGTCTGGTTTGCGCCCTCCTATTGAAGGAGCTTATACTAGGTACCGGAACATTGTATAATCGCAACTCAGAGATGCTTGATGCGATACATTGTTGCTGTGTGCTTTGCAACGCCGACAGGCCAATCTCTTGGGGTGAGTTGGGAAGAAAGCCAGAGTCCCAAGTGCAAAGTTTGAGTGTGGACAAATCACCCATTTCACCCATTCTTTCCATGGATAGGAATGTCTTTAATAGTTCTGCTTTTTGTTGATGCTGAAAGGTCGATATTTTGGGGTAGTTCTCCAATTGTGATATACTCTTCAAAAGAACTTTCATTATGGACCTCATCGGGTCGTCCTGTTTGCGATATCAGATTTAGGAGATTGCATCTGAAATTGCCCAAACAGAAGGTCAAGATCAGAAACGTTGACGAGCATGGTCATGATCCATAGGGTAGAATGAAAATTAAATACGACCTAAGTGCAAGGGAATCGAAAGATAGTTAAGCTCCAAAGGCCTTTATCAAGTGGTCACATCGAGCAAGCATAGGAAGTCTTCAGGTAAGGCATGAGTCGTCAAGTGGGATAGTGGTTGAGTATGATCAGCAAGTCGGCGATAAAGATGCCGATGTAGCATTGTCGTCGCCCAATCAATCATCGTGCATACCACCCGACTCTTGACATACATACAGTACTGCAACTAGGGGATCCGACACCAATACCGAAACATACGATGGCTTTTTGTTTCGATTTCAGCTCTCTTTCCCTTTTTCTCTTTTTCTCTTTTCCTCTCTCTCCCACTCCATTTTATAACAAGGTTTGCGTAGGCCTTGGCTGTTTCTTCTTTCTATCAAGCTTCTTAAATTCTCTCCCTGTGGCCTGCTATGGATGCTAACATAGCGAGTAATATCTATGTTTCGCAAATATCCTCACCTGTCCTCAGCTTTTTTGACTTACCCATCAAAATTCGCGACGACATCTACCAAAGAGTGCTAGTTGTACCCCAAGGAATATATCTTTTTCAGATCTATGATGACTCGGTCAAAACAGTAATCCCAGGGAGACCAAGTAAATGGCATGCATTACTGTACACCAATCGAAAAATGCGCGAGGAGGCCAGCGTTGCACTTTATGGACGAAATCGTTTCGTATTTATGGATACAATGGGGTGCCAGAGCAAACTCTTACAGTCCTTTCTACACTCCGTTGGGCCGGTGAACGCAAGTCTTATGTCTCACATCTGCGTAATATTTCCCTCTGTGAAGAGCGTCAAAGACGAGCTAGGAAAATATGCGCTCAATGAAGATGATGTAAATAGTCTGGAGCATCTTCGACAATTCACCAATTTGACAACGTTAGAAACTCTACTGTATAGCTTCAATCCTATATGCGCAACCGAAGCGAACCAGGATGCCCACCACTCACAATTCGTTCAAGGCGCCTGCTCACATGTTGATACGCAACTGAGAATCATCATACCAACACTGCGCAAAATCATCATCGTATGTCATGAAATGGTACCGAAGAGTGAGATGGTGGATTTAATGCGCCGCTATCGATGGACGGTCTGGCGAACTGATAAGAATGGTATGGTCAATGGGCAAGAATGAAGGAGAAGTATGATAGCAAGAGAGGAGGAGCAGATGTGGGCATAGATCTTTGCCATACTCGTGTTGCTTGGACGTTTTGAAGAACGCAACCTGTATCTCTGATTACTACTCTAAGGGAAATTTATGAAACTACAAGATCTGTTTGTCACCGTCTATTTCATTGGTTTAATTATTCACCATCAGAATACAATAAACGGGTAAAAGATTGGCGTGCTTTAATCAGACGGATCGTTTAAAAAAAAGGGGGCTGACGCGATGAGACTTTGACCAAAACAAGATTGTATTGTGAAAATGGCTATGGAAAATATGTGACAATACTTGCTAATAATTTTTTCTTCGCCTACACAACCGACATATGAAGGTGAAGCTGACAGGAAACAAGGTCCTAAAGCCTTCAAATGAGCTTCCTGTTTCACTTGTAAAAAGAGCCGAACTTCGCATTTGCCTGTGTGTTTCTACCGCACCATGAGCCCCCCTTACAACGCTGCTCTTATAACCCAGTGATGGCTTGGTCTGGGCGCGGCACTTTCTCTTTGGAATTATCCAGAGATGGGGGATGACTGATCTTTGTTATTAGTTGGATCATGGGCTCCCTTGCTCATGTCACTTATTCATGAGGTGCTTCTTGTGACATGTGAACAATATGTTGCATTATCTAGCGGGCTTTTCCGCACTTGAATGATCAACAAGCAGAAGTATCAAGATAGGAGACAGTTTTAAGGCGATAGATAACTCTACTATTTCCCACTGACACACATGGGGCATGTAGAAAAATCATCAAGTGAATCGCGCTCAAAGTCTAGACTTAGATCCTAAAACCTCTTCAACAAGCTCCACAGTGCCCTCCGAACATCCATAAGAGCCCTGATATCCCCAACCCCCATGACCATAATTATGAACCACCCATGTAGAATCAATTTTCTCCTTCTCAATCCTAACCCCACTCAATCTCAACGGTCGTAGTCCCACTCCATGCCGTATGACACTCAATGCCTCAATACCTTTTCCATTCGTCAAAGCAGGACATAACTCCACAGCTCGCTTCATGATTCGCATAGCCTGGTTCGGACACGGTTGCGACTCCCAGTTTCCTTTTTGATATGTGCCTCCTAGAATCGTTCCACCGCCAGCTGCACGTTTCATGATATAGCACACCTCATCGTCTCCATCGTCGGTACCAGAAATAGTTAGCATAACACCAGGATCATTACGTACAAGTACGATTTGACCTCGAACAGGAATGACATCTTTGTCCATAACGCCACCCAGTTTTGAGGCTAAAAGACCTGTGCAGTTCACGATCACATCGGCCTTGCTCCCGGAGTGATGTAGATCGCCGGCTTCGGATATGTGACTAATGACACTGCGTTGAAGTACAACACCGTTCTTTAGACATTGGCCGACGAGGTAAGATAGATAAACGGCCGTGTTGATGCAAACCGATGTGAATGCGGTTGCACTGTCCGCACCAGCAGGGATCTCGTTTTGTGGTAACACACGGAAATCAGGGACAACATCTTTGAACCAAGGATCAGTGGAGAGTAACTCGTTGAACCATTGACCTGTAATTCCTTGAGCATCCTTATTGCGGTTCAAAATCACAGTGTCTGATGGAGTCAGTGAAGAGTCACCTCAAAAGTGGGAGGGCCATAAGAACTTACTTTGGAAATGAATGCCGGCTTCTGGGACATCTTTTGCTAGTCTTGCGAGTTCGTACCATGTTCGCTTCTCCCATCTACAGTCGGATGCATTTGATACCCTGCCCAGGTGAACTGAGTATTAGTGTCTCATTTTCTACCCGATCTTGCCCGACAGAGGAATGGTAAATTGCGACTCACGGAAGATAATTTGCACCAGCCCACGGAGATGTGTATTCAATGTCGTAATCACCAGGCATATGCTTTGCAACAATGGTGACTTTGAAGTTAGGATTTTGGGATAAGAGTAAAGCGGTGGTTAAACCGGACACTCCCGCGCTGCAGAGACGTCAGTCACTCTGAGTTAGATAAGAGAGAAAGGGTTGGAAAACGAACCCAACAACCACAATATTTGACATTGTCAATGTGGCTACTATCAATTCTTGACAATGGAATTCAAATGTTTGAAGGGAAATAGAAACAAGAGATATCTCACTTGGGATATATACTGAGAGTGGAGTGTTGTGACACAGAAGATATTCCGGAGATAATCCGAGGCTCGAGCGTTTTCGTGATATCTTTGAATTTGGCGCCAAGAATATTCTTTCTGAATTCCTTCTTGGAATATCCCTTTTATATATGTTTCTGAATATCTTCAGAACGACTGCCTAAACAAATCCTACCCTGGTGTACATGTATATGCAAGCCACGTGCTACATTGGGCAAGTGCTTCGTGTCTCTCAAATCATACACTGACTAAACTTTCAGCCCTATCATGGCGGCGGAGTTTGAACCCCGCATTTTGAATGGTAGTTTGAAGGTCTGAAGGACTGCATGCTAGGTGTCTGTTTTGGCAATGGTCTGAAGGGACTTCCCTATTTGACCAAAAGGTACTGGCGTTTTTCAGACAAAAGGCGAATTCAGATGAGATATTTGGCAATTTCAAAAATCACATGGTGATCTACCATCGCTTAATCAATCATGTGCGGGCTTATCCAGATGAGTTTAAACCATTTCTCATACTATCTCTAGACAGGGGCTTTGCCAGGTGAGCTGGGAGATCTGGCAGTGGCTCTCTTCTCTCTGTCGGAAACGAAGCGGCAACTACTGTAAAAGCGGGCCGAGTTGTTCGGAGGTACCTGAAGAAGACGTCGAAGGCGGGTGAGTGGGCCACCCAGCTCAAGCTGGTTGCTTTTGCGAAGTGTTTTGGATTGATGTCACCATGCTGGACAATGTCAATCCGGATCTGGTAATCGTTGAGCAGGAAGTAAAGCGCTAAGCATCAGTTGCACATTGCGTCTGACGTATTTTTCTATCCTCCTATGGCAGACCATAAATGCCAGAAACCTCTCATATCAGGCTGTTGGCAGTCATCACTCTTCTCTTCGCAACTTAGACGGACCACTTTCAGAGAGACCTACTTCTTTCTCTAGTGGTTCCTTCAACGCCTTATCTACCTAGAATGACGAAGTCTAAGATTTATAAATGTACAAGACTCATTTCATATCTCAAATTTTGACTAGTGTTTACAGAATAATTGGATTTGGCATTTTTCATTGAGAGGGGGGAGGATATGTGTATGTTTATGATAATTTTGGGACTGGAATTGATACCCGGAGAGCTGATGAAATCATTATCATGATTAGATGTATCTGTTTGACACAAACATATACTGAAATCCTTGTAGATTATGGTGTTTCCAGTTCATGGCCAATAAATCAAACATCCTAAACTTAATGATGGAGGTTCTTAAGCATGTATATTGACGGCGCTGTGATGAAAATGAGCTACAATGGAGATGATAACTGTCTTATTTCCACCGTCTAAGTATTACCACTAATACAAACCAGCGGTTGATCTTAATATATAATATACCGTCTTCCAGTTCTCAAGTTTCAATTCTTGAATTGGAGAGGGAATACCTATCCAACCTTCTTCATGTTCTCATGGATGTTATGACTCCAATGCTAGAGAGAGAAATACTGAGAACGATATTACCTAAAATTCCAGATTTCTGATATGTCACAGGTTGCTTTGTTGCCCCGTCGATGCTGAGGAAGGCTATTCGTAGGAGAAAACCCAGGCCAGGATTGTCCACTAGGAAACCCCTTCAATAATCCAATTGTTGCATTTCGGGTCGGAGAATCGATATTTTTGGAGGGTACTATGATTTAAATACTATTAACTCTCGTAATTTTACTTGTCGTTGATTTATTGTAATATTTATTCGGTTGATCAATTCTGGCATCTTTTTTCCCCGCGAATGAGGGAGCTACCGTTCACGTGATACTATTTCTTCTATGGCTGCACAGGCCACGTGCCCGGGTTTCTTCTTAGGTAATCTGAACTTCACTTCATCTTAGATAACTGACTTCACTTCACTTCACTTCACTTCACTTCACTTCACTTCACTTCACTTCACTTCACTTCACTTCACTTCACTTCACTTCACTTCACTTCACTTCACTTCACTTCACTTCACTTCACTTCACTTCACTTCACTTCACTTCACTTCACTTCACTTCACTTCACTTCATTGCATACGACTTCTTCATTCCCGCTCTATATCTGTAAAGACTCAAAGAAAAATGATGGGGATACAGATCAGATTTCATCCTGGAAAATGAGAAGATCAATCACTCTTTTCATGAGACATTGTCACGCAAATTACATGGTTTTGGCTTCCGAAATGGCTCAACTCCATTGAATTATCATTCTGATATAAGTAACATCCAGTAAGATAAATTAATGACCAGCTAATCTTCAGACCTGTCTTTTGTTTCTAAGCTGCTGAAACACTTCTTTTCTCTTCCAAATACCCACGTCCATTTGCATCTTCTCAACACCTGGAAAATATCGTCAAAATGCCTGTACAACATTGAATCCTGATCATCTTCTAGATCCAAATCAACAGTCTCCACTCTAGCATCCGCCTTTTCTGCAAAAGCTTTCAATTCCCAGATTCCCTTATCTGTGAGATCAAAACAGACGTCATGGCCTGCTATTAGGGTGACCTGCGGGATCACAATTCGCTGCACAAGTGGCATTAGTGCTCTACTCGTTGGCTCAATTGAGGCGGATTTGAGCTTGAATTCTTTATGATCGTCCAGAAATCTTTGTAAAGCTCTACACATACCAATGCCTTTTGCTTCGAGGCTAACGCAGAAGGTCTTGAACTCTAGTTGGATTGAACAAACGTTTGGTAAATTGTCTAGTGACGAGTTCACTATATCTGGCATTGGATTCCAGCAGTAAGACTCCAGGCCTCTGAAAACGGTTAATTGCTCCGTCGATGAATTGACCTCGGAGGCACCATTGACAGTCTGGGTAGACCTAAAGGGCGAGTAGTAAGAAGACTGATGT